GGTGGGTTTGAACCGCCAGCCTTCTGGTTAGCAGTCAAGTGCTTTAGCCACTATGCTACCAGAGCTCCTGGATAAATATACTATATGTTTGAAATTTTCACTTTTTTTTTTTTTTACATTAAAATAAATGATATGAGGAAAACTTCCTGTTTGAAAAATCCTCTGGTAAATCCTTTTGTAAATACTTGCTGTCTTCTGTATGCATCTAGATTTCATGTATTTTGTTTTAAGCCTGTTTCGTATCATGTGGTTTTATACATTTTTAAGTATTCTCACACATCCTATTTCAGTTAATAGTAAGCAACTCTGTGAGGTAAGTGGAATGAACATTATTGTCCTTCCTTTTACAAATGATAAGCCACGTTAAAAAAAATAATAAATACATTGCTTAAAGAAAACAGCTTTTAGGTGACAGTGGAACAAAAACTGAGATTCCATGAATGAGCCCTAATCCAGGGTCATTTGCACTAGACTTTTCTGCTGAGAACAAGACCTGCCTTTACTAAACATGGTGTAGGTGTAGTGAATTGGATTTTCTGGGCACAGTGAAACACATTTTTCTGTGAATTTCTAGGAAAAATTTTAGAGAATGTGGAAATGAAGTTTTGGTACACAGAGGTAGCAGGTTCCGGAAATAAAACACATGGAATATAAGAGTATTATTTAGAGATAAGGAGCTCTGGTAGCACAGTGGCTAAGGCACTTGACTGCTAACCAGAAGGCTGGCGGTTCAAACCCACCAGCCACTCCTCGGAAGGAAGGTTGGGCAATTCTACTTCCGTAGTGATACTGCCTCAGAAACCCTAGGAGGGGTCACTATGAGCGGGCCTACTCGACCGCATATCACAACAACAACAACAACATTTAGAGATAGGAGCCCTAGTGCCATAATAGCTAAGCGACTAGCTGCTAATTGAAAGGCCGGTTTGAACCTACCTAGCCATCCATGGAGAAAGATGTGGCAGTCTGCTTCCATAAAGATTACAGACAAGGAATCCCTATGGGGCAGTGCTGTGTCCTGTAGGGTCATTATGAGTTTGAATAGACTTCATGGCACACAGCATCAGTAGTGTAGAGGTAGAAGTGAAAACAGAAGTAAAAAAATGATTCTGTGGAACAAGAGTTGACACATTATGGGGGGTGGTTTTTCCACATGTATTTTTTCCTACTGTTTTTTTGTTCTTTCTCTTAAACATATACATAGTTTAAAATGTTTTCATCATGTTATTTTAAAGTGTGGGCATTCCTGCCTTTATCTCTCTCCCCTACACCCAAACACACAGGAAAGCACAGTGGGTACAGTATAGAAGTCTCTAGGTTGTATTTTCATCTTTACTTGCTCTAGGCAAGAGCTTTTGCCTGTGAGTGAATACCTAAAAGTTGTTTGTTTCGTTTTTGGGGGAAAAAAAAAAAAAACAGTTTATTTTTCCCCCAAAGCTATTTGCTCTCAAGTTATTTTGGTTTCTTTGTATGATCTTTTAGACCTTTCACTTGACTATGCCTCTCAGCCAGCAAATCTTCAATTCCCTCACATAATCCCACTTGCTGAAGACATCAAAGGCTCCTGCTTCCAAACTGGGAATAAACGGAACCACGAACCCTTAATTGTTCTGGAACGATTTGGAAACAGCAGTGTGGGCTTTGGCAGTAATTCTCACTCCCAGGCACCAGAGAAAGTGACGCTTCTTGTAGATGGCACACGTTTTGTTGTGAATCCACAAATTTTCACTGCTCATCCGGATACCATGTTGGGAAGGTAATTGACGGTAATTTCCTTCCAGTTTCACTCTGTTCTCTAGGTAGAGTAGCTATACCTGCTGCTTAGCTTGCACTGCTTACTTTTCTACCGTCATACCTTTGTGAGAAATGGAGGGCAAGCTGTTAAAAGCTTTCTATGTCAGTGATGTTTTTTATTTTTTAACATTTTATACTCATTTTGCTTACAAAGCCAGTATAGTGAAATGAGCACCCACAAAAGGAAGTAAAATCTAGTTAGAACTATGGAAAATGCACTGCTGAATCTCTTTCCCTACTCCTCTATAAAGTCATTCTAAAACAGAGGTCAGATTTTTTTTTTATCCACAATTTGTATAACATCACAAATGTAGTGTTTTCTGAGTTCCACAAGTCCAAGGTGCTGAGATAAGGTGAGACCTCAGTTGTGGGTTTTTTTGTTTTCTGATTTTTAATAAAAAAATAGACAAATGTTCCACATGATACAGAACAAAGCAACAGGAGAAAAATCTAAGTGGACTCTTAGCCACAGAAGTAGATTTTATTTTATTTCAAGATCTAACTTCAACTGAATTAGAAATGTGAATGAATCACTAATTTGCCAAATTCTAGGCTAAATGAATTCAGCTATTTTATGCTGAATATACACATAAAATTCACAACAATTTTTAACTAGAACCAAACCTATATATTTCTCAGACATCTGAATTAAGATGACAGTAGAACAATAAAGCATTTTCCAAATCAGCCCTACACTTTATAAGGCTTGATTGACTTCTTCTTAATCTTGATACTACCACCACTTTTGGCCCCCAAAAAAGTGTTCTTCAGTGCAGGCCAGCTGAAGTACATTGCTTCTGAAAGCAATGATCAAGAGAAGAAAGACTAGTATATTCTGGGTAACAGATCTTGGGTGACATGTAGGAAGGTTTGTCACATGAAGAAGACAGTCTGACTCTATATTTAGGTGGTTCATTCAGCTGAGGAGGCCAAGGGCACGAGTTCTATGAGTTATTTAGGTTTGTTCTATCCTGTGGCCACATACAGTAGCCAGTGAGCTTACAGATTTAGGCCTTTAGTCATAAAGGGGACGAGCTGAGAGTATCTGAATGAATTGATGCAAATGCATGTCACTGTTAGCTAAACAACACTGGTAAGTCCTGCTGATGATAGATGGGGGCTATTATATTTATGGCATGTTATTCACTATTATGATTCACAGCTAGACTTCAACCAGAGCATTCCAGAAAAAATGTAAGCATTCTTTAAAGACTACTTTAATCAGGATGGAGTTCTTATGCATAGTGCAGTGATTTGGAAAGCATGTGATGGGGGAATCTTTTACAGACCTTGAAGGGCAGCTAATTCACACCAGAAAATAACAGTTGGCAACATTTTACCAACAGGGCTTCCCAGAAGGTCAAGGGAAGAAATGTCAGTGAGTTTCCTTTGGGGAAATCACATCAGGCTGGCTAAAGGTACTTGAGTGCCTGCCCTATCCTTTGTGCTGGCTTTCCCTTCTACAACTCATACACAGAGTGCAACAGGAGTAGCAGAAGTCATAGGGCCATTTAGACTGGAAGGGATCTGAGAGAAGGGAGAAAGCGTGGGAAGAACTGAGTGAGAAAAATAAGATTTCCTCCCCATGCCGTTATGACCGCTGAGTTCATCCCAGGGCAGGCTTTCATCTCTGAAATATGTCAAACTGCTCATCAGCCTAATACCTACCTTCCTCTTCTACTTGACCTGAAATTTCCATCATTAGGGTTACTCCTTACATTGAATAAGGGCAGTATTTTCCAGAGTTCTACCATTAAAATGTACCAGGAAAGGGAAAGCATTAACTTATCTGCACCTGTTAATACAGATTCATCTATGAGATTGTTGTTGCTGTTGTTGTTAGATGCCATCGAGTGGTCTCCGACTCACAGCAACCCTATGTACAGCAGAACGAAACACTGCCCGGTCCTATGCCAGCCTCATGGTTCTTGCTATACCTGAGCTCATCATTGCAGCCACCATGTCAATCCATGTCATTGAGGGCCTTCCCCTTCTTTGTTGACCCTCCACTTTACCAACTATGATATCCTTCTCCAGGGAATGGTTCCTCCTGACATCATGACCAAAGTAGGTGAGACGAAAGCTGGCCATTCTCACTTCCAAGGAACATTTTGGCTGCACTTCCTCCAGACAGACCTATTAGCCCTTTTAGCAGTCCATGGTACTCTTAGCATTCTTCTCCAACACAACTCAAAAGCATCAACTCTTCTAAAGTCTTCCTTATTCATTGTCCAGCTCTCACATGCTTAAGAAAATACCATGGCTCACTGTTCAGGTTACTCAGTGCTGTTCTGATAGGAATATATCACAAATGGAATGGCCTTAACAAACAGTAGTTTATTCTCTTATAGTTTGGGAGGCTAGAAGTCCAAGTTCAAAGTGCCAGCCTCTAGGGGCTGGGTAAAAGCCCCTAGACTTTGGGCTTTAGCTCTACCTCTTGCTCCCGGCCTACTGAAGCTAGAGGCTATTCTTCACTCAGGCAGCTACTGGCTGCTGAGGCTAACAAGCCCAAGGTCAGCAAATAACATGGCACAGTCCTGATGTTACCAAACCACATGGCAGGCCATTAATTCAAGTCCATTGTAAGTCCCATGGTCAGCAGAGCATGGCAGGCTGCTGAACAATGATATAGCTATATGTAGGGTCCAAGTGTGCCATAAGTTAGAGACCATTCCCCAAGGCTTCTGCTTATATATCTGCTTATATACAGGAAGCAGACCACATCCCTAAGGCAGGTACTCAGCTGCTCACAGTAGATTCCACCATGGAGTTGATTACCAGTCTCATCATGGGGAATACTACATCCAGCTGCCCAGCCACTCAGCCAGGCCCAGACAAGTTGACACACAAACTGAACTACCACACGTACTTTAGTCTTCAAGGAGACATCTTTGCTCTTCATCACTTGAAAGAGGTCTTTTGAAGCGTATTTGCCCAATGCAATACATCATCTAATGTCCTAACTGCTGCTTCCATTGGTGTTGATTGTAGAACCAAGTGTTCTGGTTACCTAGTGCCACTCTGACAAGAATATACTACAAATAGGATGGCTGTAACAAACAGGAGTTTATTCTCTCATAGTTTTGAGTCCAAGTTCAAAGTGCCAGGCTCTAGGGGCTGTGTGAAAGCCCCTCGACCTTGGGCTTCAGCTCTGCCTCTTGCTCCCAGCCCACTGAAGCTAGAGGCATCTCTTCACTCAGGCAGCTACTGGCTGCTGAGTCTAACAAGCCCAAGATCAACAAATAAAACGGCACAGTCCCAATGTTACCAAACCATATGGCAGGCCATTAATTCAAGTCCATTGTAAGTCCCAAGGTTGGCATACCATGGCAGGCTGCTGAACAACTACACGGCTACATGCACGGTCTAAGCATGCCATAAGCTAGAGACCATTCCCAGAGCTGTTTCTTATATACGGGAAGCAGACCACATACCCAAAGCAGCTACTCAGCTGCTCCAATAGAGTCCACCATGGAGTTAATTACCAGTCTTACCATGGGGAATAACTGCATTCAGCTCCCCAGATACTCAGTCAGGTCTAGCCAAGCTGATACTTAAACTTTACCACAATTCCACCCCTTGTCAACTTGGCACCTGTACAGACCTTCATTGGGTGGCATCTGTACAGATCTCTCTCACTGGGTGGCTCCAGTCCCCTAGTACATCTAAATGGTGACCTCACCCCCCCCCCCCAGGCCTGGCAGGCCCCATTCCTCTCCCTCTTGGGCATGGCAGCCCTGCCTTCTCACTCTTGGGCAGCAGCTTGACCCCATCCCACTACCTCACATGAACGAGCAGCACTACACTCCAGAACCAAGTTGGTGAAGGTCTGGCTCTTTGAAACCTAGGGGGCTGTGGTGGTTCCACCCCCAAAGACTATGGTCCTAGCCTTTGAGGCTGAGGCAGCTCTGCTTCCATTTTCTTGGTCTCTCCAGTTCTGATTAATGCCCACTCCGCTGGAAATCTTCCTGCCCCCAAAGCATTCCGCTTTCTTGCTCCGTGGGCTGGCCAGCCTGCCTACATAAGCTAGAGACCATTCCCAAAGCTGTTTCTTACATACAGGAAGCAGACCATGTACCCAAAGTAGCTACTCAGCTGCTCCAATAGATTCCACCATGGAGTTAATTATCAATCTCACCATGGGGAATAACTACATTCAGCTGCCCAGCCACTCAACCAGGCCTAGCCAAGTTGACACATAAACTTAACTACCATATGAAGTAATATGAAGTCCCTGACAACTTCAGTCTTTTCTCCATCCATTGTGAAGGTGTTTATTGGACCAGTTGTGAGGATTTTTGTTTTCTTTATATTGAGGTGTAATCCATACTGAAGACTATAGTCTTTAATCTTCATCAGTAATTGCTTCAAGTCATCCTCACTTTTAGCAAGCAAAGTTGTATCATCTGCATATCACAGGTTGTTAAGTGAGTCTTCCTCCAGTCCTGACGCCACGTTCTTCTTCATATAACCCAGCTTCCTGGGTTATTTGCTCAGCGTACAAATTGAGTAAGTATGGTGAAAGGATACAACCTTGACGCACTCCCTTCCTGATTTTAAACCATGCAGTATCCCCTTGTTCTGTTTGAATGACAGCCTCCTGATCTATGTACAGGTTCCTCATGAGTACAATTAAGTGTTCTGGGATTCCCATTCTTCTCGATCTTATCCATAATTTGTTAGGATCCACACAATCAAATGTTTTTTTGCATAGTCAATAAAACCTAAGTAAGTAAACATCTCTCTGGTATTCTTTGCTTTGAGCCAAGATCCATCTGACATCAGCATGGTATCCCTCATTCCATGTCCTCTTCTGAATCCAGCTTGCATATTTGGAAGCTCTGTCAAGTATACTGCTGCAACCATTTTTGAATTATCATCAGTAAGATCTTACTTGCATGTGATTTTAATGATATTGTTTGATAATTTGGACATTCTGTGGGATCACCTTTCTTTGGAATGGGTACAAATATGGATCTCTTCCAGTCAATTGGATAGGCAGCTGTCTTCCAAATCTCTTGGCATAGCCAAGTGAGTGCCTCCAGTGCAGCATCTGTTTGTCAAAACATCTCAGTGGACATTCCGTCAATTTCTGGAGCCAATTCCTTCAGTGCAACCTCGACTTCTTCCTTCAATAGCACTGGTTCTTGATCATATGCCAGCTCCTGAAATGGATGGACATTGACCAATTATTTTTGGTACAGTGATCTGTATATTCCTGCCACATACTTTTCATGTTTCCTGCATCATTTAATATTTTGCCCATAGAATCTTTCAGTGTTGCAACTCAAGGCTTGAATTTTTTCTTCAGTTCTTTCAGCTTGAGAAATGCTGAGAATGTTCTCCCCACTCACTCACCCCTTTTTTTTCCTATCTCCAGGTCTTTACACATTTCATTGTAATAATTGGCTTTGTCTTCTCGAGCTGCTCTTTGAAATCTGTTCAACTCTTTTATCTTGTCATTTCATCCATTTGCTTTAGCTGCTTTCTACTCAAGGGCAAATTTCAGAGTCTCTTCTGACATCCATTTTGGTCTGTTCTTCCTTTCCTGTCCTTTTAATGACTTGCTTTCTTCATGGATGATGTTCTTGATGTCATCCCATAATTCCTCTGGTTTTCGGTCACTGGTGTTCAAAGCATCAAATCTATTATTTAGATGGTCTCTAAATTCAAGAGGGATATAATCAAAGTCATATTTTGGTTCTCGTGGACTTCTTTTAATTATCTTCAACTTGCATATATGCAGTTGATGGTCTGTTCCACAGTCAGCTCTTGGCCTTGGCTGAAGATATTGAACTTCTGCATCACGTCTTGCCATAGATGTAGTCAGTCTGATTCCTGTGTATTCCATCCAGCGAAATCCACGTGTATAGAGCCACCATTTGTGTTGTTGAAAAAGGTATGGGCAATGAGTAAGTCGTTGGTGTTGCAAAATTCTATCATGTGATCCCTAGTGTTATTTCAGTCACCAAAGCCGTATTTTCCAACTGCCGGTGACTCTTGTTTCCAACTTTTGCATTCCAGTCACAGTGATAATCAACACATCTTGATTTTATGTTCAGTCATTTTCAGACTGCAGAAGTTGGTAGAAATCCTCGATTTCCTCATCTTTGGCTTTGGTGGTTGATGCACAGATTTGAATTATAGTAGATTAACTGGTCTTTTTTGTAGGCATATGGATATTATATCACTGACAGCACTGTACTTCAGGACAGATCTTGAAACAGTCTTTGGGATGATGAATGCCACATCATTCCTCTTCAATTTGTCATTCGCAGCATAGTAGATCATGTAGTTGTCTAATTCAGAATGGCCCGAACAAGTCCATTTCAGTTCACTAATGCCTAGGATATTGATCTTTATGCATTCCATTTCATTTTTTACAACTTCCAGTTTTCCTAGATTCATACTTCATACATTCCATGTCTTGATTATTAATGGATGTTTCCAGCTGTTTCTACTCAAATTTTGAGTCATGCCACATCAGCCAATGGAGGTCCCGAAAGCTTTGCTTCATCCATATCATTAAGGTTGTCTCTACTCTGAGCAGTCAGCTCTTCCCCAGTCATATTTTGAGTGTCTTCTGACCTGATAGGCTCATTTTCTGGCACTATATCAGACAGTGTTTCAGGGCTGTTCATAAAGTTTTCCAGTAATATATCAGACAGTGTTTCACTGTTATTTCATAAGGTTTTCAGTGGCCAATTCTTTGAGAAGTAGATGTCCTCTCCCTTCTTCCAAGTCTGTCTTAGTCTGAAAGCTCCGCTGAAACCTTTTCACTGTGAGTATCCCTGCTGGCATTTTGCAACACTGGTGGCACAGTCTCCAGCTTCACAGCAACACAAGCCACCACAGGATGACAAACAGACAGACAAGTTCATCTCCCTTAGTTGTTCCTAACCACTCTGCTCACTTCCCCACCTATCTGGGGCCCAGTCTTAAATAAAGCCGCCCCACAAGCCTCAAGCCAAGATTAGATGTTGAAAAGCAAAACCCAGAAATACTAAAGAATGGCATACTGGATAGGTAAATGTTGATGGAGTTGGGGGAAAGAACAGGAAAGGTCAAGTGCATGAGACACTGTTTTCCTGAGCTGTCACGGTGTATAGGCAGATTCGTGGGCAGTGGAGAAGGTATAAAAGGCAACCGTCACACACTTCAGAGCTTTTCCAAGGGCCAACTCCACATTTGCTGTCAGAGAAATTCACTATAAATGAACCTTGAGGACTTGATGTTTCATTCCGCCTTGCACACAAATACTTACAGCAATTACTACCTCCTTTTCCTATCTGAAGGGAGTTTCCCGAAGACTTGAATATGTCTAGTCGGATCCAAGTGTTGTGTTTTTAACTTACACTGTGTGACAGTGGAATGAAGTCTTCCAGAATGAGGTGGCAAGGAGAGAAGTCTCATCTGTGAAAGGTCCTGCTGGAGAAATGTAACCTTGTTGCCTGTGTCTCTTTTAGGATGTTTGGACCGGGAAGAGAGTACAACTTCACGCGGCCCAATGAGAAGGGAGAGTATGAGATTGCTGAAGGAATCAGTGCAACTGTATTTCGCACGGTGCTGGTGTGTAATAGTCTCTTTTTGTTACGTTCTCTTCCCCAAGCAGAAGAATCCTAGGAAACCATGTTACTGACATTAGGGTCCCTCATTTCTGGTCATTGTTTTTCCTCCTTATTTTCTGTTTCTGTAACCTTTGTCCTTTTTACTTCTCTGAGCACACTCATGCCAAGTTTTGATTCAACATATCAGGATAGCCAGGGGCCTGTCTGCCATTCAGTTAATCACCCAGTTTGGTGATAATTCCAGCAGTCCATCACTCTGACAGAATCAAGAGTGACTAGGGTAGAAGAGGTAATTGTCCATCTTGTTCTTTGCCTACATTTCTTCTTCCTAATCTGTTTAACAGGATTACTACAAAACTGGTATTATCAATTGTCCCGATGGCATCTCTATTCCAGACCTTAGAGATACATGTGATTATCTCTGCATTAATTTTGACTTCAACACCATCCGATGTCAAGATCTGAGTAAGTACAGGAAGAGCTGCCAGCAGCATTTACTTTGAATTTATTTGGAATAGACTGGTATTTATTAATAAACAAAAGGAGTTTCAAGTGTGGGTTGGAAATCATCTACAAAAGCAGAGATGTGATATTAGGTAATCCATTCTTTTGTCTCAAAGGATTGCGAGAAATTGGAATAAACAAAGTAGAACAGTTAGTAAATCTTAAATCTAGGTTGACCACTGAGTCACCAAGCTAAAGGATCTTGATGTCTGTCATTCAACTATTTAACAAACAAGGATACTGATTCTGAGACATAAGGAAAGGCTCCCTAATAAAATCAAACTATATAAATTGTCTGGGTTCTCCTTACTATTTTTATCATTATTAACTTAGTGTTTGCTAAGTGCCTTGTAGACAGGGATCTGCTTAGATCTTGTAACAATTAACCATGAAGCATGGGTGATACCCTCATTTAATAAATAAGAAGAGTGAGAAATTATCTTGCACTCAAGGCTGTGAGAATTAATGCCAGGTATAGAACTCCGGGGAGCTCTGGTAGCAATAGTGCCTAAGGCACCTGACTGCTAACCAGAAGGCTGGCGGTTCAAACCCACCAGCCACTTCTCAGAAGGAAGGTTGGGCAATCTACTTCCATAGTGATACTGCCTCAGAAACCCAAGGAGGGGTCACTATGAGTTGGGTCTCACTCGATGGCACATGACAAACACACATAACATAGAACTCCAATTGCCTGATTATAAACTTCATGCTCTTATCACTATCTAGGCTTCCTGAAACTATTTAACACATTATTCTTTGAAGTTGTTGTTATTGTTAGGTGTTGGTTGTCAAGTTGATTCTGACTTATAGTGACCATGTGACAGAATAGAATTGCCCTCATGGGGTGGTTTTCTTGGTTGTGATCTTTATGGAAGCAGACTGCCAGGTCTTTCTCCTATGGAGCTATTGGTTGCTTTAGGTTAGCATCCAAGTGCTTAAATATTTGTACCTCCAGGGCTCTTTATTCTTTGTACATGATACATCTTCCTACCTGTTTCATGAAGGCCTCTGGACTTAGGATTTCTCTACTGAGTCTGGCACACACTTAGAACAAGCTCCTTAGTGTTTCCAAACTAAGGTTTTCCTCTACTGTGCTACCCTAACTACTGAAATAGGGGTCTGAAGCATCTTCAGAAGAGATACTACAAAGAATCATCCCCAAGTGATGGTTCTATCTCTTACAGGATTAATATGGTCTTGATACTGTATGCCCAACAAAACCTCAGTTGATCAGAATTCTCAGGGATTATTAAGTCTGAGTGAATTGAAGAATGGTAAAATATGAAACATTTCTAACTAAGTCAGCTTTATGATCACCTTGGAGCACGAAACAATCTCTTTGACTTTAAACAGGCCACTTCTCTGGACTTTATCCATGGTAACAGCTGTTACCTCATACTTTTTTTCACTCCAGTAATATGTGCCTTTGGACAGAAAGAATGTTCACCTGCATTTTCTCTCACCAGGTGCTTTACTGCATGAACTGTCTAATGATGGTGCTCACAAGCAGTTTGATCACTACCTCGAAGAGCTCATCCTGCCCATCATGGTGGGCTGTGCCAAGAAAGGGGAGCGAGAGTGCCACATTGTTGTGCTGACAGATGAGGATTCTGTGGACTGGGATGAAGACCACCCCCCACCCATGGGAGAAGAATATTCCCAAAGTAGGAGCCCCCTTCACCGTGTAGCTATTTTCAGCAAGAAACACACAATGCCCAAAGCAACTGTTAGATCTTAGAACCAATGTGAATAGCACACTCACCTGGATGATAAGCCTCCAGTGATGGCAGGGCTAACCTTCATGCTGGGCAATACAGTGAATGTCATACCTCCTACTCCTACCCCTGATGTTTGGTACTGTGTCAGATACTGAAGTAACACATTAAATGGTGGTTTCATTCTTTTCTTCACTTGTTTCTTTCCATTTTAAAATATTTTTGAATTAGTAATAATTCAGAATTTAAGAACTATAAAAGGATGTACACTGAAAAGTTTTGTTCCCACCCCTACCCCATCCACCCAGTTTTTCTCATTTTGTTTTATATCCTTCCAGGTATACTCAGTGTACCTATATAAACAATTATATACACAATTTTCCTTTTTTTTTTTCAAAGGATACTGCATTACCATGTCTTACACACAAAATGTCCTTGTTCTTTTTTATGGCTGCATAGTATTCCACTGCATAAATGTGCCATACGTGATTTAACCAGTCCCTATTGATAGGTATTCAAGCTATGTCCAGTCTTTTGCCATTATAAATGATGCACCTTTTACACAAGTCTTTTCATGCATGTATATCTCTATAGAGTTTTGTTGTTATGTGATCCTGAAAATGGAATTTCTATGTTAAAAGCTTTGTGGTTTTATGATAGATGTTGCTAAACTATCTTTTGTTGCTAAACTATCCTCCTTGCATCAGTTTACACCCACAATAAAATACATGACAGGTTTCCCATACCTTCACCAACAGTGTTTTATTAAACTTATTTTTGCCAGTCTGATAGGTAAAAATAGCACCTCACTGAGCTTTAATTTGCATTTTTCATTTCACAAGTAAGGCTGAACATCTTTTTAATTTTTAAGAGCCATTTTCTTTTCTTTTCTTGTTAACTCTATTTGTGTTTTTTGCCCATTACAAAATTAAATTGTTGTTCATCTTTAACCGATTTCTGAAAGCTATTTGTGGCAGTTCTCTGTGTATATTAATTATCTTCGTAATGAGTTGTAGCTATTTTTTCCAGTTGGCAATTTCTTTTCTTAGTTTTTCTAAGAAAATTTAGGCTGTATAGAGATGCGCTATATTTATATGTTTCTTTTATGGCTTCTAGGTTTTATGTCATGTGCAGAAAGGCCTTCCCCACCCTGAGACCATAAAAACTCATCTGATTTCTTTTATTATTCTTATGGTTTATTAATATTTAATCTTTGATTCATCTGGGAGCTCTAGTGGCATACTGCCTAAGGCATTTGACTGCTAACCAGAAGGCTGGTGGTTCAAACCCACCAGCCACTCCTTGAAAGGACGATTGGGCAATCCACTTCTGTAGAGATACTGCCTTGGAAACCCAAGGAGGGGTCACTGTAAGTCAGGACCAACTCGATGGCAGTGAGTTTTGGTTCATCTGGAGTTTTTGGCATCATTGGTGAGGTATACCTTTCATTAGTCTGAACGTAGTAGCTCATCTCCTTACAGAACTCCTTGTGACTAACCTCCAATTTTTTTGTTTTTTTTCCTAGTTCTTTATAGCTCCAAGCTCTACAGATTCTTCAAATACATTGAGAATCGAGATGTTGCAAAAACAGTGTTGAAGGAACGAGGCCTAAAAAACATTCGCATTGGAATTGAAGGTGATAAGAGAAAATCCCAGTTAGTATTTAGGTTGCATGCTTATGGAGTAGGGTGGATCCTAGAGCTACAGTCTATGTCTTCAAAGTTTCAGGGCCCTAGGGAGTAGCCACACATGAAAAGTACTTTCCTACTCATGTTTGAAGGATTTTTGTTGTTGTTTGCCCTCATACTTCCTTTGTATTTTCAGTTGAAAATGCATTACAGCAGCCCAAGAATAGGTTCCAGTTTGCTTGCTAAACAGTGAGGACACAGGGCACTGGCAGGTAAATAAAGGTTATGGCTCACCATGTGAGAGGACCATTCTGCCAGCAATCTTAGTGAGGATGTTTCTGAGATATGAATGGGTCTTTCTGAAAATTACAGTTTGAAGACTCAAAATTTATTATTCTACTATATACCTTTGAGGAACATCTGGATATATTTACAGAACTAATTTTAATCATCTTGAGCAATAGCTCTCAACCTGTCGTCCCAAGCTTACAGAAGGGTCTCAGAGACTGACTCTTGGAGTGTGCTGAAGCCAACTTTGTCTCTCCTCTGCCACCTAGCATTATGTCTTTGATTCTTGTGTTTTGCTATTCTTGCTGCTTCACTCTTACCCACAGAACTCGTCAGACTTTCACAGTCTCTGTATGATTTAGGTTGAATTTAAAATTGGAAGATTCTAAGATCATCCATTTAATAACCTTAACGTGTCCTTCATTTGTCTCTTCCGAAACCCCAGAGACAGGGTGAAAGATATCTCCCATCTTCCAGGGCAGACCGTCAGTGTTCTACCATTAAAACATTCTTCCACACGTCTCATAGGTAACCGTGTTCCTCCTCTGCCTTTCTAATTCTAGCCTCTGAAGCTACTCTAAGATTTCTTCCAAATCACAGCCTTTCAAATACTTCAGTCAGTATCGTCGTGTTTTCTTTAGGCTAAACGTTCTACATTACCTGTTGCTGTTGAGTCCAGTATGACTCATAGTGACCCTCTAGGCAGCAAAATTAAGAGGATTGGAGTAGCCATGCCCTGGCAGGGTTTTTGTTCTATAGTATTGTTGCCAGGCTAAAGACTCCTGAAATGGGTAAGAGTCTTCTCTTCCCTATCCATTAGAGGGATAGAAGTTATGTTACTTCCCTTGCATTAGCTCCTGCTAGGGATAAGACCTATTAGCCTAAGCCAGAGGGAAAGAAACGTGTAGGGAGTTGGAAGCTAGGAGGAACAGGGATCAGTAACTTGTTAGCTTCCCAAGTAGTTTTCATGTGAAGTCTTTGGGTTTGGGAGGAAATAGATGTGATTAGGAAGGAGAAAATATGGACACCAGAGTGAGCAGTTTGCCAGACTCATGGGGATGGGCCTTTTCATTGTTTCAGGTTATCCTACCTGTAAAGAAAAGATTAAGAGAAGACCTGGTGGCCGGTCTGAAGTAATCTACAATTATGTGCAGCGCCCCTTTATCCAGATGTCATGGGAAAAGGAAGAAGGAAAGAGTCGCCATGTGGATTTTCAGTGTGTTCGAAGCAAATCCCTCACTAATTTGGTAGCTGCTGGAGAGGATGTCTTGGAGGACCAGGAGATATTAATGCATCATCCACCCCAAGTGGATGAACTTGATCGGCTAAATGCCCCACTTTCTCAGATGGCTTCTAATGACTTTCAGGATTAGGACCAGCTGTGGGTCCACTCTATTTTGGAGTTTTTCCTCTGTCAGGATGCCCACACCCACTCTGCCCCATGGTTTGTCTCACTCTGAGTAGGGGACATGTTTCCCCCCATCTTTCCCCCTTTTCCCATAATTAACGTGTCCTTTTCTGTAAGCGTAAGTTCATGCCTCCAGCAGAAGGTGAAGAAGCACTGGTAATTAAGCTACCAGCTTTGCAGCAGCCCTGGGAACTTGAAAAATTTGAGTCTGGTGCTGTTCACTGACTCTTTGCATAATGTAAAGAGAGTTAAGGCTCCTATTGCCTCATATTCAGCAAAGCAATTATTCTCATCCTTTACATTCAGTTCTTGAATTTTGTTTGTTTTGTTTTTATACTAAGCAAGTCACTTAGTAGCAAAGGGACCAAACTTAAAAGTAGACAGTCTCTCTTGAAAACAGGTGGGGTGGTCATTAGAGGTTAATAAGGTAGCCATTCCTGATAATTCCTGCACCCAGATTATATCTGGGAAGGACAAGGCACTCATTCAAAATGCCTAAGAGGAAATTCCTCTTAAGAGTTTAAATTTAGTTTTGTTCCCCGTTAATGCAGTGAACAATCCAAAACCACATACCCAGACTCTTTGACAGAAAAGACAATGGTATGATAATGTTTATAAAATCTGTTGAATTTCAAGGTTTTTCCACCTAAACAGTTTACTCATTTGAAATGAAACAACTCAAATAGAAGAATCTCTCCAAAATCAAGCTACTTTACTTTTCCTGGCTTGGAAGCTGGTATGAAGCCATACATCTTAGGTCCTAGAGCAGCACAGTGCTGTGGGTGTGGCAGGGAGATCTTAAATACAGCTTAGAAACTTTCAGGATGTGGGCAGAAATGTCTTACAAGCACTCAATAGAAAGAAAGGGCGGGAACTTCAGATGAAGCTGGGTGAGGAAAATGTCACCTGCATATGCTGTCCTACTGTGGGAATTTTTCTTTGGATATCTGTTTCATACTGTGGAGTCTTTTTTATTTTTTTCCTTTTAGTTTTTGAAAGAACCTGTCAGCTGCTTACATACTAAGTGAAAAACCAATGTCACTCTTCAATGGAAAGGTGACCCAAAGGGAAATTAGGCTTTAGTAGTTTTAATCTGTCCATTCTGTTCACAGTACATGGGAGAGACCCCAGACTGCTCTCCCCAACCTCCCCAGTACTGAACCATCTTCCTCTGATGCCTCTGTGGCTGTTCACAGCAGAGGTGGCTAAAGAGATGGTCAGCAGCACTATATGGTGATGAGTGAATGCCTTCATAGTCTAAGAACCAAGCAGTCCCAGAGCCAGAAATGAGGTTCGATTTTGTTGTAAGTTGGCCTCCCAGTCACCCAGCCAGGGTATTTACTCACCACAGATTGTGCATGGTTTCCTTCAGGTTCTTTAATAGAAGAGCATGGCTTTGGTTTCCTTAAATTTCATTTCTGTAACATTGCTATAGGGCAAGCTACTTGATTCCATTTTATGACTCCCCTAGTTGTGATTCTCCAAAGATAAAGCAGGATAGTCTTTCCAGGCTTGAAGAACAGAGTTTTCTTAAGAAATGCATTCTCTGTGCGTGTGACCAGCATTACAGTGGAAATGAAGGCTCGTTTGTTAGAAAGGGAAATAGTCGTAAGGGTTTACCATCCCACACCTACATAGGCCTTCTGATAACCACTGGCTTCCATTTGCTAGGCTCATGGCTGAGGTTAAGGGGGTAACTTGCAGCCAGAGGGTAATTTTTCTGTTTGTGAAACTAATTGGCTCATATTTGAAAATAGTTTAGGTTTGGCCTTGACCTTACCAGCACCACATTCATGCCAGCTTGCAGTCGACTGGCCTAATAGTTTAATGGTGTTTCCTTTGCCTTTTCAGCGGACTTCCATACCACTACAAAGGAATTATTTGTTTGTGTATTTTAGGACTTTCATCATGAGTTATTTGATGAGTATGTATAATTTTCCCTCAATATACAGCTTCTATGTTAAGTGTAAACAGCCCACCACTAAGTCTAAAACTAGTTATTCCTTGCACTGGTAAAAAGCCAGGTATGAAAGTAGCATGTATGTGACACTTTTGTTTTACATGAATAATTTTTGGAAGCTTTCAAGAACTAGGTCTAGTTTTTCCTCAGTTTGGGTTAACATGCCCTTGGTCCTGGGTTTGAGTGAGCTAGAAATCTGTATGGTTAAAGCTATCGGCCAGTGTCACCTAGGTGGCAGTGACTTAGGGGGAACTCTTCCCTCCAGTCGGGAGCCCAGCATCACTGCAACTGGGTGGTGGCCTACTCAGCCAGGACCTTCCACAGTAGCAGTAGCAGGACTTGAGCAAGAGTTTTTGTGATTAAAAAGAAAGTAGAAATCAGGTTTGGTGTTTTTTTCCTAAGTGCCTAAATAAATAAATATGCCAAACTGTTGATACAGAAACATTTTCACAAGAAAATGGTTTTACTCAGAAAATCTTACTTAGGGGCATCTCAGCAAACCAAGATGAACCTGAATTTGAGGTTTAGAATCTGAGTTTGTGTGCATCATAATCATGTATACTTGTTCAGGAATCATTTTTGCCTTTGAGGAGCTGGGGAGAGGGCAAGAAGACACGGTATTTTCAATGTGTTGCGTTATTTTATGGTCTCTCCAGAGCAGATGAAAGATACTGAAATAATGACAGTAAAAAAAAAAAAAATGCCGGATTTACTATATAATATGCGATAGCCAGTATTACTTTAAATTCCAAGAGAACAGTGTGATAGTGTGGGTCTGTGAAAATACTGTGGAATAAGCCCAGGAAGGGTGAATGTACTTGGCAGTATTCCAGTGGGCCCACCTTTAAATAAAAACAAATATTCAGAGTACAAGCTTAAGTCAGACTCTTATAATGTGATAGGTAGTTTTGTTTTAAATCAAATGCTAACAAAGAATGAACAGATTTTAGTAACTTGTTCGATGCCACTTCTTGCCATCATTTTCAGATTGTTAACATGGGTATAGTGGGCCCAGAAAGCAAACCTGATGCCTTCCTGAAAGATGGAGCCACATCTGTGCCCCGAGGTGGGATCACCTCTGCAAGGAGAAGGTTACATTTTCTCTTACAGGCGAAACACCTCTACGTTTTGCCTCTTTTACTTTGTATTTGCTTACAGAGTTGGACTTGTTCACCCACCAGTGTTTACGAAATCCTGTATTCAGGATGATTTTTCTATAATTAAAGTATTATCATTTGTGTGTCTGTACTGTTCTTTAGCAGAAAATCAGAAGTTAAGGTATTATAGGGGGACTTAAAGAGGTGATACCCAGACTGCCCAGAACAGAGCCTCTGCCTTCCCTAAGGGGAACATGGGGTTCACCCTTACACCTGCATGTGCTTTTTCCTCCTTGGTATTTCTTTATAAGTCACAAGTAACAAAGCCCTCTATCATCCGCCCTCTCTCAAGTTCCTGGTTAATTTCCATTCCAGACCCCTTCAATGCCATGGTTCCTCAAATCTCACTAAACAGGACACTATATACCCAACTATATTCAGAAGGAAGGGGTGCCTTGAACTTCTGGTTGTGGTTTAAAATAAGTGTGAAACAATGGCAGAAATGAAAAGTGAAAAGGGTAAGGCAGTCCTGGCAGGTACCTTGGAAATGGTAGAGCCTCTTGTTCATTCTGTGTGATTTCGTCCCACTCCAGGTGAGTGCCTGCTGGGTTCCCTCAGTTCACTTAGCCTGAGAGCTTATAAGTAATACGTCAGGGGGCGCTAAAACCAGCCTGTGTCTGCCAAGGGGGCCTGCCTTTGTCACACAGCTCTTTATCTGTCCTAAAGACAGATGGTCTTTGTTGAATAGCTCAGACAAAGGTGTTTGGACTTAACTGTTAGGAGCCCTAAGGGGGAAAATGACATGGTCAGACTTGAAATATAAAAGAGTATCTTTGCAGCAGTGCGGAGGATAAGCTTAAAAGGAGAAAAAGACCAGAGAACATTGACAGTTCCTCCTTAAAGGGCTTTTATAATCACATGGAGCAGGCAGACCTATAAATAGTCCAGGTCACTCAAAAAGCCTGAAAGAATGGAATAACCAGTTTTTGCTATGAGGACTAGAAGGGGGTTCACAAAAGGCTTCTAGATTTATACATGAGCTAACCTGTGAAGGACAAATACTAGGTGGTTTTGAGAGAAGAAGACAGTCCAGGCAGACTCAACTATATGAGCAATGCTCAAAGATGAAATGATTGTTTATGGTCATCAGGGAAAGAGGATAGGGTGATGCAGAGATGAGGCCAGGACAGAGTAAGGAAGGACTTTTGTAGCTCAAACTGTTGGGTGCTTTACTGGGGAGAATGACATAATCAGATGAAATTTTAGAGAATTTCTTGGCAACAGTGAGGTCATGTTTAAAAAGAATAAAAGGCCAGAGACAAGGAAGTCAGCTAAGACAACACTGCAATGAATGGTGGAATGGATGGCTATGCCCTGAAGGTGTGATGGTGTTTTCTGACAACTTCCATTTAAGAAGTCTAAGGTTTCTGGCTTGGACAACTGGGTAGAATGAGCTAGAAAAAGACTGAGGGCAAGAGGAGTTTGATTTGGACAACTCTAGTTGGAGCCTGCAGGCGGCCTTGTCCAGATGGCAATTTCTAGGTGGTACTTGGTTATGTGGGATCTAGAATTCTGAGGTGGGTGAGAAGGACTCTGAAGACCTCACCAGAGGAGTGGTAGTTGAAGCCACCAGAGATCACGTGAGTCAAGAGGGCAAAGGCACAAAGGTCCAAGGAGCATTAGCATTTAGGTAGTGAGCACAATAATTACCAAGAAGTCAGAGAGATGGGAGGACAGCATAAAAAAAAAAGTCAGCAGTCTCGAGTATAGCAGTCTCAAGATAAAGACTGAAGAGAACGCAATGGGTATGACAGTTAAGACGGTGGTGACCAGAGGAATGATGAAAAATTCTAGTATGTTCTATACATGGGGTAATTAATAATAACGTGTCACACATGATGCAGATAACAACTGAAGTGGGAGGGGGAAATGAAGTAACAGAAGTGACTGCAGAGTGTTCCTTGCTCCATTCTCCACAATACAATACTTTCTGCTCCATTCCTTTGTGCCTCTAAAATTCTGGATTGCTCACTTTTTCCCCTCTGCCAAATCACTGCTAGTTAAAAACATATCCAGGATGGTTCCTAAGGCCCTCCCAACTCTGGGTTCACTTGTCAGTACACTAATGTAATAAGTTGGTACTGTATTCTGTTAAGCCACTTGGTAGGGGGGCTCCTTAAACCAATGTGCAGCTCAGGACCATAGTGGGCTCCCTAATGCAACCTGGAATGCCTGTTACTGAGCTTGTACATTACAGATGTGTAAATGTTATCTGGGCAAGATGCTATCTGAAAAGATAAATGAAAAATATCATGAAGCTGTTTTGAACTCAATGTTGGCTTTGACCGATCAATCCAGGAAACCACATGTCACCTAGGAAATAAAAGTATCATTCACTGAATCCTTTTGGGTTCAACTTAAAATATCATTTGGGTTACACACATAGGCCCAGGAGAGTGAAATGGGACAGGGTGACTGAGGAAATGTACTTTCCAAGGAAATGACTCAGAGGAAGAAGCACATTAGAAACTGACAACAGAGGACTCCTTGTGCCATATAGATGGGTTCTGAAATTAACAATCTTAGATTAGAACCTATCAGTCCTAAAGAATGTTCTCATGTACTCTTGAATCAAGAAGAGACTAAATGACATTCAGTATCCAGTTTTGTCTTAGTAATAGTTACAGTTCTATTATTTTTTAGCTCGTACTAGAAACTGGAGTAGGAAAGAGTTATGTTATATGTAAATAGTGTCAACAGTGAGCCTTTGTTTCTAAACTTGTTTCTTGGGACCCATAAGCCTTGAAGATTACCCAGTCCGGCTGCATTTAGCTTTTCTCTGCCTGCAGTTCCTATCCTCAGTGGTCTTTGACACATAACCCCCCTTCTTGCCTCTTTCTGAGGCTCCTTTCCGCACCCAGAAAGGGGCTAAGAAGTGGGACACAATAGGACTCCTCCATTACATCATGCCAATGGCAGACCCCTGCCACGGTGAGTGGAAGGGGGGTGAGAAGTCTCGTGCTACAAGCTTATGAGATTCCTAACTGACCCTAGGATGGGAAAAGGGTTGCGGGGGGAACCAATGTACAAAGAGCCCACAAGCTGACAGCACTTGTCAACTGTCCCCTCTTGGTCCTACTGCAAGGGCAAGGGGAGGACCAATTGCCCGACATGTGTGGGGCCAACAGAAGACCGTCTCTTTATGTGGACAGCAGTCCAGAAGACTAGCTCCTTGAGAACAAAACACCCAGTCCCAGCTTCCCCGCATCAGAAAAGCACTTTGCAGAAAGATGGCAAGGCAGTGTTTCCCTGGTTACAAAAGCCACCAGCACTCTGCTTCTTTGAATTACAAGCCAATCTGCTTTAAAACACATTTTAACTACTGTTTTCACATAGTTTATTCACAAGTTTGAAAGTTAAAACGTGTGCATTTTCCCTTAAAACAAATCATCCCCTGCCACTCCCCAACACACACAGACTCAGTAGCACACCGTTACTTCTCTTTACCCATGCTCACCACACACTCTTGCAAAACCCACAGGTCAAAACCCGACTGTTTGGTAAAACAAAAAAACTACAAATACACAAAGGAACCCCATTTAACTCGTTTTCACTAACAGACTATGAATGAAAGATTAAGGGGCAAACACATTACCTTCATCCAGAGTTAGACTTCCCTACCACTCTCTTCTTCCTGTATGATGTTAAAACCCAAAGCAGGCTCACATACTACTATAACTTAGAATCCATTTTTTCTTCTCTGAATGGCTAAGCTAGGACACACTTTCCATTCAAAGCTGATCTTAACAACTTCGAGGCTAGTGGAAAGCAGCCTCCTAGTTGTCGTTTGGCTATGACTGCAATAGGCAAAGTTACCAACACAGGTGCAAATAATGCTTCTTAAGAGTTATAAAAACTTAAGAAAGTAATAATGCATTAATATGGAGCTTCCACACTTTTCTGACACAGCAATATTCCCACAGAGGTGGTGGCAGCTGTGAAAGAGAAGGCACTTTGTGCTAAAATCCAGAGGGTTCTCAGGAGAGAACACTGCAGCAGAGGCCCAGGCTGAAGGTGACCCTTTACGGTGGGGAAGAGCATACCCCAGGAAGGCATTCTGCAAAGGAAAAAATTTTCAACCATGATTTCAAGGCAAAATGGTTACTTAAAGTTAGGGGAAGAAAAATACCAAGAAGGAAGAAGACACAGTTGCACCAAGGACTGAGGACTTGGTAGCCAGCTCTGCACTTTCTCCTTGCCTGGCTCCTTCACCATCTCCAAGGGAGTTCTGGAGACCTTGCAGGAGCAGCACTTCAGCCAAGTGCTCCATGCTTCCTGCCTCTGGGCTCCCCTTGCTGTGTTCCCAGGAAAAAAATGAGTTCTTGTTGGCAACACTTGTGGGTGCTGCTGGTCCATGGCAACATTTGCTTTAGGGATTTTCTGATGCAGCCATGAAGAAAAAGTTAAGGTTTTCCATGTGATCCAGGACTCCTTGGCAACATGCAGTGGCTTTCTGGGCCTTCTAAAGCAACAATGGATCAAGCTGATATCCCCTCCATCAACACTCAGAAAAGCAGCATGAGCATTTCAGATGTGGGGGTGGGAGAGGAATCAATGGATTGAAAGTCTTTATCCTAGTACCATAAATAAAGTGCACCATGAATGGAGGCTAAAAAGAGCCACTAGCCAGAGGCCGAGGTATGGGGCTAAACTACCATTGCCACCCCTTGAGAGGACGGTGGATCATTTCCTTCAGCCAGAATGCTGGCTGCTGAGGCTTCATTATTGCTTTATTTCCATAGTACTGTCGGATTTTGCTATTTAAAAAAAAAAATACTTGGCAGATAACACATCACACAATCACAGGAATTGGCTGATATTCGATGAGTGCACATTACAATCCCAATAATGTTGGATGATGGCTGTATTTCCCCTTTGTTCGGATGAACTTAGGAAAACACAAGTCTGTTTTTTATCTTGTTTTGAATACCTAACAAATTGGCTCATGAGGCTTCTAAAGAAGCAGGACAGCTTTTTATGGCCGACATGGTAGAAACAGCTGTCTTTGTTCTGTAAGTTTTCAGATGCATCATGAAGAGAATCCATTGACTATCACGTTTCAGGAGACTTTACCACAATAATTGGCGAGTTCCATAAAACTTCTTGGAAGCTCTTTCAAAAGTGTGTAAGAGGAAAACCATACTGTTGCACAAAGCACTCTGCTTGATTCAGGGATCCGTGCCAAGGGTACTATTTTGCTGCTTTCATGTAGGAAGGTATTGCCCCCCGAGCAGTCAGGCCTTCAAAGCGCTTGTATGTGTAATTGATGAAGACCCAATCTTTGTTCTTGTAGTCAGTCTCAGGGTGATTACTTGTGGCCACTGGGAAAGAAACAGACGTGAGAGTTGATTCACAGCCTTACCCCGATGGACTACTCAGTACTGAAGACGTGACATTCTGAAGAACACACCATGGTTTCTATTTGCGAAAGCTTATTCTTCACTCAAGAATTTTTTAAATTTGCTTGCTTAAATTTTTTGAACTTCCTATTTCTTCACAAATATTTTTTAAAGTTTTATTTTCCCATTCCTGTCATTTTGGGTTACCTAACCTGTAATTTAATAAATCACAACAAACTGATCTTTGTGACTTACCCACGCAGCTGAGCACTCTAAATATGGGGCTTTTATTTATTTTCCATTCAACAAGGTCTCACTGCTACCCAGCATGAGCACTGGAAAAATACTTACAAAGAATCTGAAGAAATGAAGCTCCTCTCGATGTTCTCTGTACCCTGATTTGTAAACAATCACCCCAAAACTGGAGGGATATAATGTGCTTATAAGGCAGCAGAAAGCAGTATGGTGGTATTATTACCTGTTGGCTTAAGAATATCAGATTCTGGAAACTCATCAAAGTTTGAGGTATCATCAATGCTTTTGATTTCAATAGATATTGCAGCAGGTCTTTCTCTGCCAAGAATAGACATGCCAAAAAATTACCATGGTTAAGAAATATATGGGTCATACTCATCAAGTCTATCTCGAAAAAAGAACTCTGGTCTGACACGAGGAAGACTGTTCACCAGCAGGTAGTATTTCTTTTCTTGAAAAAGCTTGACCCTGAAAAGTCAAGCCAACTGACTACACAAACAGTACTACTTATAATTGAAAAAATACACATAACTCAATCATTGATAGCTAGGAAGAAAGACAAGGATTACAATGAGAAATGAAAATCCAAAGTTATTATACCCCCTCCCAACTGCCTGCCTTGTCTGATAAAAAGAAACTGTTCCCTCCTCTATGGCTCTGTCCTTCTGCCAGAGATGCCAATGAGTAGGAGGGTGGCCAAAATGGCAGCAATAAGGACACAAAGATAAAAATCACAAGGATGCAAATCAGAACAGGTTATGACATAAATGATAACATCATCTTCTGCTTAGCTACCAACAAAGGCTAAGTGAGGTCTGGGACCATGGCAGGTGGTCTAGGCTCTCATTACTGTTGGCAGAACTCTACCATCCCCACCGTAACAACTTTCTTTCTCCCTGTCTCTCCACTCCTCTCTACGCCATCCCCCACCTCAATCCTTCTTCCATTTCCTTTCTCCTTTCTCAATCTTTCAGCGATATCCTCTAGCCTGTGGGCTGGGGAGTCCTGGTGGCCCCCAATGAAGAAGCTGCAGAGTTCTAGAGAAAGGCAAGGGCAGCATGCTTCTGAGCTGCTCCCTTCACCGTGAAACCCACACCGCTTCACTTTGTAAACAGCTGCTGGCTTCAACAGATCTCATGGCACCTGACGCAGGAAGCCCAACTCCCAATCCTGACCATGAATGAGAATCAGGAAAAGACCTAGAATTTCTAAGTTCTCTTCCCTTACTTGGCTTGGCAATAACGGGGTTTCCAAATTAGCAGTCAGTAAACTACAGACTTTCTGAAATAATCCTGAGAGCTCTTATATGATGGATATACCTGATATGCTCCCAGTCAACACCTTCAAAAAAAGAATTACTTTTGATTTCCTCAACTCCAGGGGCTCCAATTCTATGTTCCCATTCACAGCAGAATCTGGAAAAGACAGAGGTCTTTCAGCAAATTTCAAGCAGTCTCTTCAGGGAAAAAAAGGAGTATTACCTTTTTAAAGGGGGTAAGGAACCCTGATGGAGTGGTTAAGCACTTAGCTGCTAACTGAAAGGTTGGTGGTTCAAACCCACCAGCCACTCCACAGAAGAAAGATGTGGCAGTCTACTCCGGTAAAGATTACAGCCTTGGAAAACTTATGGGGCAGTTCTACCTGTTCAGTAGGGTTACTGTGAGTCAGCAATGACTCCATGTTGTTGTTGTTATGTGCCTTCGAGTCAGACCCGACTCATAGTGACCCCTCCTTGAGTTTCCAAGGCAGTATCACTACGGAAGTAGGGTTTAAGGGGTTGGGAGACAGGAATAGGAGGGGAAGGCAGCAAACTCGAGATACTGAAAGTTTAAAAAAAGGCTTAATTCAAGTCAAAAAGCTGAGGGGGTGGTATTCTCTGATACCTCAAAATTAGATCCTTGGCTTTCTCAGAAATGGGAACTTCTGGAGGAAAAGTCAAAGTTTCTTTCCAGTTCATCACCTTCTTATATGTCTCTTGAGGGGTCTCAGAACAGAAAGGTGGGTAGCCTGTAATAAAAAAGGAACTTCGGAGCTTTATACCCCAAAACTCTAAATCTGACTGAGACTATTCTCCTTAAGACAATTTTGTACATCTTTAAGGGCTACTCTGTATGATTTCCACTCATTCCAGAAAACATCTAAACCTATCTTTCATTTTCCCCTAAATTCCTAAACCCAAAGTGTGCCTTTGGTGCCACTATGGAGTCAGTTAATAGCTAAAGCTGGGAAAAGAAAGGAGGGCAGAAGTATAGTTGCAGGTATAGGAAGCACTGTGCCCAAAGACTGGAAATGAAAAGATGAAACAATATCATTAAGAAAAGACTTCACTATAGATATATCCTTTCATGTAAAATGCCAAACAAGTTGAGTCAGAACTAAGTATGGGTTTTAAAAAGCGACCACCATGCCTCTTGAAAGTAGGCAAGAAGACAAGGACTCACATACAGTATTACCCTATCTGCCCTCCACTCAGGTACACCCACCTCCAAAGGCATCCATCCAATGTTCCCAAAGGCAACACAGCCAGGTACCACACCCAATCATCCACACAGACGCACTTGGTACTACCACACATATATTCATCCTACTGCTCACTGGCAAACAGACACCCCCACAGATATGTCCCCTGAATACATAGATACACCACTCAAACAAGAGGGAGAGAGGTTATAGGATTCCATGCTTGAAGGCTTTGAGGAAAGAGACAGCCAATTAGAAGAAGTGAAGACTGAGGGAGCAATGCCCAGTGAAAGTGCTTGGCTACAATGGATATTTAATAAATGCCAGTGACTAAAAGAGTTGCTAAGTGAAATGCATGAAAGAGTAGATGAAAGAAAAACATGATAAATGATCAGCAGAGCAACCACAGGATGCCAGTAAACCTAAGAATATAGTGGGATACAGCTGACTCAAGCTCTGTCTACACAGGAAGCTTCACTTTTCAAGGCATGAGAGGTAAAAGTGCTTGGTCCACGCCCAATCGAAACGGATTCTAACTATCAATTTCAGGGTCTTCCCTGGCTGCACAGAAGTCCTCTGAAAGCATGCAACTTACCGATAAGCATTTCATACATGATCACCCCAAGCGACCACCAATCACAGAGCTTGTTGTACCCGGTCTGCATGAAAACCTCAGGAGCAATGTAGTCTGGAGTGCCTACTGTGGAGAAGGCCTGAAACAGGTACCACATGTTAGGGAGGCCCCGTCAGACAGGGGGGTGCCCAGAGTTCTGTTCTAGAGACCAAAGGCTGTGAGGACCACCTAAGGCTACCCCTAACCTGGACTGCCTGGTAGCTAGTGCCAAGCCTGATTTGCCAGAGTACTTTCCTTTCCCAACCTGAATAAAGGTTTGTTACTGAGGTTCTTCCTAAGTACAACGAAAGGCCTAATTCACTAGGCCAAAGGTATCTCTATCCTAACAACTACTACCATAATTTACTCACCACCCATTAAGTGCCAGGCTCTGTACTTGGTATGCTTATGAGCTTATTTAATCCTGACAAAACTTCTGCAAGAAGGACCTTATTAGCTCAATTTTGCAGATTAGCAAATCTGATACTCAAATGGCTACAGGTTTGCCCAAAGCCTCAGAACTAGTAAAATGTCAGAGCCCGGTTAGGAAATAAAATATCTTGCTCTAAATAATCTCTCTTCCCACCATATACACTCTTTGATTTCAGAACATCATAAAGAGAAGTTTTATTATTAAAAGCTAAACTTACATCCTAGAGGTCAAAGGTTTATGTCTATCTACCAAACTTAAATCATTTACATAAATGGTCTGAGAGGAACATTTTCTAAACTGCAGGAATTTACTCTCATAGACCAGGGCAGAGGGCATACAATCAAAGCCTTCTAAAATGTTAAACATCTGAAGTCTTACCACATGTAAGGCTCTAATCTAGGTGCTCTGAATGTTATATACAGTTTAAAAGTAAAAATTAGGTCTATGCTGTCTTTTTAAAAATATTTATTATGAAGTACAGTGCCTAAGGCATTTGACTGCTAACCAGAAGACTGATGGTGCAAACCCACTAGCCATTCCTCGGAAGGAAGATTGGGCAATCTACTTCCATAGTGTACCACTTCAGAAACCCAAGGAGGGGTCACTATGAGTCAGATCCGACTTGACAGCAATGCATTATTACAAACGTACAGAAAAAAAAAAAAAAGCAATACACACACATGTACCACTTACCATATCAAAGAGAGGTTAACAATCTACCATACTTGTTCCTGATCATTCATCATTTTTTAAAAAACAAAACTACAGAACCAATTAAAGCTCTGTCCCGTATGTCCCCTCCTCCGTCCCCATAGAGGTATACACTGCCCTAAAGTTGTGCTGACCTAGTATGAATAGGCTCATAAATAAAGTTACTTTTTGTATTTAAATTTTTATCAAAGGGTTTTGCATTGTAACGCATCATTTATATAATGCTACAATATGATTTTCAGATTTATTCATGTAGCTCTAGTTCACTCACTGATCTTCTGTACTACACTATTCTGTTAAAGGAATAAGTCACAATTTCTTTATTCATTCTCCTGCAAATGGACACTTAATGCTGCTGCAATGTTTCACTATGACAAATAGCACCTAGAAAACACTCTTATTAATACCTCCTTGGAAGGTGCTGGATCTTGGGTTATGAACATCTTCAATTTAATCAGGTATCTTCCAGTTGTCCTCCAAAGTGGTTATACCTATTTAAACTACCCTAGTAGAGGTGAGCTCCTAATGCTCCATCTTGTCAACATTTGGTTTCATCAGATTTTAAAATTTTTACCAGCCTGATGACAGTGAAACAGGATCTTCTTGTTTTCTGAATCTGCATTCTTAGTTCTAGGTTGAACACATTTTTATGTTAATTAGCCACTCAGGTTCTTTTTTTGTGAATTCCTGTTCAGATCCTTTGCCCATTAACTTTTTCAGTTGTACTGTCTTTTTTTTTAGTTCATAGAAATTCAGAACACTAAACCTTCAAACCAAATATCTTCTTCCAGTATGAGGCTTTTCATTTTTATCATGATTCTTTACATAACGTACTATTTGTCACATACCAATAAAAATGTGTAATTTATGGACATATGAAGCATAAAAATGAAAATGAATTGACCCATGAGTTCAACTGAAGAACCAAAATATTACCAACACCACTGAAGTTACATATGTACTCCTCCTGGCTTCTCTTCCTAGCCCTCTATGCTGAATTTTGTGTTTATCATTCCTCTGCTTTGAAAAAGAAATCTAATTTTGCCACGTGTATCTCTCTAAATGATATTTTATTCAATTGTTTGTTTATGAACTTTATAAAAATGGTATAATTCTATATAAACTATTCTATTTGATTTTTTTTCCTTCGGCATATTTCTAAATTTGATCCAGGATACCACATGTATCTGTAGTTCCATTATTTTCACTGCTGTAAAATAGTCATTTTCCTGTTGATAAACACTGGGTTGTTTCCAGTTTTTTGCTATTAAAAAAAAGCAATGATCATGTATCTCCTGGTGGACAAGGCAAGTTTCTCCAGGGCATATGACTAGGGATAGATCGCTGGGTTGTAGCGTGCACCTGAACTCTAGAAGGCAATTCCAAAGTAGTTGTACTATGTGGTCATCTTTTCATTTTGTTTATGTCTTTTGATATACAGAAGTTCATTTATTTGTTTTCCTTTAAAGTAGTAAGATAAGTCAAGTTTTTCTTTTAGGGTTTATACTTTTTGTAACTTATTTAAGAAATCCTTACTTCCAGAACTAGATGGTGCCCGGCTACCAATGCCAACCACTCAGGAAAGGATCAAATCTGGAAATCCCAGATAGAGTGGGAGGAAAAACGTGGAACAAAATCCAAACACTCAATAATGACCAGAATTACTGGTCAGAGGAAGTTTGATGAGACCTCCAACACTATGGCCCTGGAATACATTCTGCACCTGGAATAAAACTCATCCCCAGGGGCTGGCTCTCAGCCCAACAGTTAACAAGATGTACATGCAAACCACTCAACCCAGGATGACGCACTCACATACTCTATGGTAAAACAACCCTTAGAGCAATGGACCATGGGGCACCAGAGGACCAACGTTCAGGTTGAGGAAATGCAGGACAAATAGGAGTGCATAAACATAGAGGCACAGGGGGAGGGTTACAGGGCAGGGAGGGGAGGAGACTGGGTTAGGGTTGGACACGGTAAACGAGGAGTGAAACTAAATGTACACGTAACGTTGAATGTAAAACAAGCTTTTAAAATAAAATTTAAAAAAAGAAAAGAAAAAAAAAAGAAATCTTTCCTTCCTCCGAGGTCATGAAAATATTGCCTTATATTTTCTTCTGAATTTTTTAAAGTTTTTTTTTCCACATAGAATTTATTTTTGTATATACTATAAGGTAGGAATCCATATTTCTTTTTCCCATAGAGGTAACTATACACTGTTTTCTTTTAGATACAAATATTAAATATCATAGATTTCAGGGTTTTTTCCTTAAAGCTTTAAAGTCTGAAACATGGAATGGGCCCTCACCAAGAGGGAGTATTTTCATTCTAATCATAACTGCAGACACCCTTCAATTTAAAGATTGGATTTATTCCAGCAAAGCTGAATGTTAAGTAAATCCTATTTGTTCAAAGACTTCTATAATAAAACCAGAGATCTATCTCCACAGGAAAGGATTTACTAAGCATTAAAAAAGCTTCCAGAGTTACAAAATAAAATCAACAGCATGGTCAAAACTGTGATACAAGAGCAATGCTCTCACTCTAGGAGCTAGACTCTTTCCGTAGGAGTGCACTCTCATTGTACGTCACTTTTAGTAGCAGGTTTTGCCTTTCTAATCTAGGGACTGTCCCCTTCCCAAACATTTCTCTGCTTTCCATCCCAGGCTGTCCTCTAACTCCAAGCTCTCAATGCTTCAAATTCTGTGCTCTTTTCTTCCTTCTCATCTCTGGGTATTTATGTCTTCTAGAGCTGTACCCTGTAAGGGCTCTGCTGGTTTGTGAACAGTCATTGCAATCACACCATCTGCTCTAATCTTATTATTTCATTTTAGGGAAAAAGTAAATAAAGCACTTTTCTTCCTAATTAATCACTTCCATAAATTCTACCTTTTAAAAACAAAAACAAACAAAAAAACTGACGCCAATGTGTACTTCATCCATTATGTCTATGGTTTAATAACTTAAAGCATATTTCCTAATCAATTACTGGAGCCAAAGGTTACTCAGGACCACGCAGCTATTTAAAACATTACGATATGATTTAAGCAGACAAAAAATGAAGCTAAAGTCTCTACTTTTTCTAATGGTTTGCAACAGACTGAAAAGTAATATACTGGGTAAGCAATTACACATGTTAGGCTTAACCTAGAGTACTGAATTTTTATTAAGCATTAACTAATATCAAACTTCATCTTGTTACCAGCTGAACAGGATCACTCATTAAAGACCAAAGAAATAAGTTAACTGACTTTCTGAAGACTGATAGGTGGCATGTTTTCTTCAAGTTTTACCAAAAGAGATAATAAGGATAACCTTAATTAATACCTTTCCATTTCTACTGGAGAGAAGAAAAAGACAAAGGTCTTAATCATAGCATAAGGGCCTTTGCTTAATTCAGATTTTTTTTTTCAAATCTTTTTAATTTTTAATGCATATCTAACTCCAAACCAGCAAATGGTGAAATCTCCTTCTTTATGTGCCAGTAAGTGGTTCCAAGTAAGTCTGAATGACCCTTCAGAACATGTCAAAAAGCATGCTTGTCTCAGAGTATAAGGATAATGTAAGGCACTTAAGCTTAATTACCCCCCAAAATAAATGTCAGCCCAGTAACCAAAGGTTAAAGACAGGCCTGTTTTTAAAAAAACACACACACAGAAGAGTCTCTCACCTTTTGCTACCTTTCAAAATAAATATAGATAAATACAGTTTCCCAACAATGGAGGAGCTATTATTTAAAGGAACAGTCTCCTTAGTGGAAGGTCTTAACATTGACTACATAGGACACACACCCAGAATCCTTTTAAAATTCAGATGCCTAGATTATACCCCACACCAACTAAATCAGAATCTCTGGAGGGGGATCCAGGTATTAATAGAGTCTAATGTTCCCCAGGTGCTTCTGATGTGCAACCAAGGTTAAGAACTACTAGAGAGATATACTAGAAACATCTAGTTTATACTATATAAATACACATAGATATACAGAAACAACTCTAATAATTTCACAACTAGATATCAAGAAGTCTATGCTGTACTTCAAATATGAATCAACTAATCATCTACTGTTAGTAAGAGTTTGCCAAGATAGTGATACTTCATTGGTGAATCTGTACTATTTAAATAACTTACAGTGTATACCAAGGTAAGGACAATAAAAGTATTGATTTTTAAGCTTGTGGGGCATAATTTTATATATGTATATAAAAACACTTATAGAGTAATAATAATCATTTCCCTTATAGTTCTCTCCAATTTTTATCACCAACTTCTTTTTTCCACTGTAAAGTGGGGAAGCATGGGACAGGTGGACTGAGTCGTCTTGACTTGCCTAAAAGAATCAAAATTTTTAAAGTTTGAGAACCACCACTGCCTTAAAGCTCTAACTAGATATCTGTACTTAATTTCATTCTGAGAGTTCTTCAACTTTATAATGACAAAAATAGAGAAAAAGTGGAACAGGGAAGAAAGGGGTTGCCACCAGTGTAAAAGGTCAGAATAAAGTCATCCATTGAAAACGTCACAACCAAGGCAACTTAATATTATCTGCCTTCCTTCAAAAGACTCCTTTGGGTGCTACCAACATAATAGTGTTCTATTAGGGTGATCTCAAAGGAAGGGACATGATGCAAACATTTATCAAATATAAATTTATAAACATGTATTTTTAAATGTATTCACACTTTATTTGTAGCATTTCAGAAGCCACAGATACTACTTACTAGTTGACGTCTATTTCTTTTCCAGGTTTCTGCTTTTCTTTTGGAATTCATGTTCTGGAAGGCTAAAAAGAAAGAAAGCAAGTTCTAATCAAAGCTCAGACATGAACGGTTGATTATCTGTCCAGGCCGTTTCAAGCCACATGTAGTCTTACTTTTCTGCCCATACATCAGGAACACATCATGACACATTTTTCAGCAAGTCTGTAAGCCCAAATCACATACTCTAGCACTAATTTAAAGAATCACACACAAGAGTTCTAATTCAATAGTACTTCCAAGTGGGTCATGTAGCCAGACAGGACATGGACAGGCCTTAAATCAGAATCACAAGGAATTTAGTCTGTATCAGATTGAAATCTGAAGCAAAGGTCCCAGAGTTGACCGAAATCATTCACAACTTAAAATCACCATCACATTTCAAAGAGTAAGGACTGTTACATTTCCAGGATTGCTGAATTTATGATACATTATTTGACATAGGCTTCTCTAGGATGAACTGTAATTTTGCTACATACTGGTCAAGTGAAAGTAACCCTCATAAAGATAAGGCTCTTTCTGACATGATAGAAAGAAGCACCTAGGAAAATCTTACTGTTCCCAGGACTTCTTCCTCTACTTTTGTTCACCCCATAATCATCCCCAGTAACCTTCGCCCTGGTGGCAAAATGGTTCAAGTAGAACTGCAAACAAAGCTTGTTCTGACATCTGCTTTAAACACACTCAGCAGCAGCACCTGACAACACAAGTCAGTCAAACCTAGAAAGGTATTCTTAGTTTCTAAAGGTTCATGCTGTGAGACTCTCTTAATCTTCCCTGCTTAACTTGGTTACCACGGAACAGCTCTTGTACACCCACTGAAGCGACAAAAAGGCCAATATCACTGTTAACACTTACTGAAATCACTGGGGAGGCTGTGGTTCAGATTCCTATAAAATTCTGTCCTATGTGCTTTTTTCAGTCCTGTGCAAAGGCCAAAGTCAGAAAGTTTCACATGGCCCTATGAGGGGGGGAGAAAAAGGTGATGGTGGATGAACATTCATGGATTGTGGAACAGAACATTAACTTCTCCAGGCTCCTCCCAGTATCTGTTATATCGCCACAGCCAAAATATACTGGCTTTTTTCTTTTATTACAGGGAAAAACAATGAGATTTTTAAACATCACCCCAATAAAACTATTTTCATTTTTTGCATGTATCTTTATCTTTGTCCAAATATACACTTTAAACATAGCTGGACCCTCCATAATATCTAGGCACAATTACACTACTTCTTAAACTAATGCTGTTAATATCCTCTGTGTTTCTATATGCTCTTCAAATTTTAATGCTTACACAGCAGTCAATTGGCTTAATACATCATTGTTTACCTAGCCTTCTCCTTAATCCTGGATATTGACTCTATTTTCAATTCTTTGCTCTCATGTAATGAATTATAGTCTATGAAACCCTATTAAAAAAGAAAACAAACCAAACTCACTGCCACTGAGTAAATTTCAATTCATAGCAACCCTCCTTGGGTTTCTGAGGCAGTATCACTACGGAAGTAGATTGCCCAATCTTCCTTCCAAGGAGTGGCTGGTGAGTTTGAACCACCAGCCTTGTGGTTAGCAGTCAAATGTCTTAGGCACTACATCACCTGAGCTCCTATAAAACCCTATAGGGCAGTTCTTTTCTGTCATACAGGGCTGCTATGAGTCAGAAACAACTTGATGGCACACATCACCACCACTGTGGACTATGATCAACCCTGTGACAGAGAAAGGAGCCCTGGTGGTGAAATGTTAAAGCAGTTTGAACCTATCAGGAGAAAGATCTCTCTGCAGAAGACAGATGTGGTAGTCTGCTTCTGTAAAGATTTACAGACTTGGAAACCCTATAAGGCACTTCTATTCTGTCCTATAGGGTCATGATGAGTTGGAATCAATTCGATGGCAGTGGGTACGGTTTTTTGGGTTCTGTGACAGAGAAAGCCTGTCTAATAGTACCTGACACAGAGGAAAGCCTTCATAAATAGCTGGTAAGTGATGAGTAATTGAACAAATCTTTGTTCATAATGCATTTTCTCCTTTTGAATTATTTCATTAGGATAAATTCCAAGGAGTAGACTATTCCAAAGACAAAGGGAATAAATATTATTTCATAATTTTTGATAAATATTGCCACACGATATTCCAATTATAAGCCTCTGACTTTATAATTCTCTTCAAGGAAAACTTACCCTTCCTAGGAACCAGGCACCATGGTCAGTGCTTCAAATATGTTGTCTCATTCCTCACTCTTAAATCACACATTATAGATTCAGAGAAATTAAATGGCTTGATGGTGAAATGGTAGAGCCAGAGCCAGAAATCAATCCATGTTCTTTCCCCACAGACCAGAATGACTTCTGCTCTCCACAGAATGACTTCTGCTCTCCAAACCGCCCCTCTCTCTTCTGGAAAATGGGGATAATAATATCTTCCTATCAAGAATGATGAGAATTAAGGCATGTAAGCTCCTACCATAGTGCCTGGCACACAACTAGCCCTAATTTAAGAGAGAGGTGAAACTTGAAGTAGGTAAGGTGGTAAAACAAAAACAGAGAGAGGGCATCCTGATATACATGGATCTACATCGCTCAAGGTCACACAATTACAAATGATGTGACCAAGGTTTGAGCCCCAATGACTTCACCATCTGAAGTCTTTATGAGACCATATATACTGCCTCCTTCAGTAACCCTCACACTTTAACACAAACTTCCCAGGGCACAGGATCCTGCTCAAATGGGTCAGGTGTTGTTTTGTTTTGAAAGAAATACCATTAGATTTGGCTATGATTGTGTGTGTGTGTGTGTGCAAAGAAATACCATTAGGTTTGGCTATGATTGCGTGTGTGTGTGTGCCTGTGCTGGTGCACATGCGTGTGTATGTGTAGCAAGGTAAGTGTCACGTAAGGACAATTGTGAGCTTACTAACTTGGTATCATTTTTCAGACTTGCAGGTAACTTGTTCTACAAGACAAGAAATGGAATTTAATTTACAGTTCTCATAATTTACCTGGTGTTCTGGTTACCTAGTGCTACTCTAACAAGAACTTACCACAAATGGGATGGCCTCAATAAACAGGAGTTTATTCTTACAATTTGGAGGCTTTAAGTCCAAGTTCAAAGTACCAAGCCCTAGGGGCTGGGTGAGAGCCCCTCAACCTTGGGGCCCAGCTCTGCCTCCTGTTCCTAGCCCACTGGAGCTAGAGGCTTTTCTTCACTCAGACAGCTGCTGGCTGCTGAGGCTGAGAAGCCCAAGGTTGACAAGTAAAAAGGCACAGTCCCGATGTTACCAAACCACATGGCAGGACATTAATTTAAGTCCATTGTAAGTCCCAAGGTCAGTACAGCATAGCAGGCTGCTGAACAATGACATAGCTACATGCAGGGTCCAAGCGTGCCATAAACTAGAAATCATTCCCAAGGCTTCTCCTTATATATATAGGAAGCAGACCACATCTCAAAGGCAGCTACTCAGCTGCTTGTGGTAGATCCCACCATGGAGTTGATTGCCAGTGTTATCATGGGGATTAACTACCCCCAGCTGCCCAGCCACTCAACCAGGCCCAGTCAAGTTGACACGCAACATAACCACCACACATGGATACCTTTAAGAGAGGAGTATGTCTTAAAAAGCAGCCCCTGGAGCAAATGCTATTCAAGCCTAGACTTTCAGGGAATTCTGTAGCTATTGTGAGTACACAACAGGAACTACACACTTATTTTCATTTCTACAATTTATGTGACTGAACACATAAATGAGGTTGCTTCTGAGCATATTTCACTGTAAGTCTGGGTTAGCATATTATAGAGAGCAAATTTGCAACTAACAGGGTCCCCTACTCCTCCTCAGCTATAGTGAGTACCCAAGTTCTTGGCCTTCAATATTGGTCAGACTGGAACACAGACTACGTAACTAAGCTTGCATTATGGCACTTAGGGCATTTAAACTCAAGCTCACATAAGGTGGATGTAGCGCTTTATTAAGAATACATTAAAGAAAACAAACAAGAATATATCAGGACTTAATGAACAGAAAAATACTTTTATATAGTGTTAAGTTTTGAAAAGCAAAATTACTTTTAAAGCTACTTACTTTTAGAATGCTATTTTTATGTAAATTACTGACAAACAAAACGTACTGATGCTATTATGACAAGTAGTAGTTATCTTTCAGAGATGGTGATAGGTGATTTTTCTTCTTTACAACATTGAACAAAACTGTTCAAATTCCCTTTGTGTATGAATTATTCTTATAATAAAGAAAAAAGCTATTAACCAGAAGAAATTGCCTGGCAAGTCTCTTGCCCTCTTGAAACAGAAAGATAAAGATTTTCAAAGAGAGTAGACAAAATAACTCAAGTATAGTTATCAGAAGACAGCAAGAAAGAAAAACACTCCATAAATTACTTTTCAACTTGATAGAAAATTTCATCCAAGATATCAATTGTGCATAACAGAACATAGTATTCTAGAATTTTGGAGCTAGAAAGAACGTTAGAGCTTCTCTAGATCAGTATATTCATTTTAAAGATAAGAAAAGTAAGGTTCACATGGCTGAAAAGATTTGTCAAGAGTTATCCAGCAATTTAGTTTGCAGCACAGATTATCTTCTAATTTATTATGAGCTTAGGAATCAAGCAACAAAGCTTATTTACATGTCTAAAGATAATATAAACAGGTCATTAAAGAGGCAGAGCAGACTCGTCTTTAAGTACAGGACATATGACTTGCAATCTGGACTTTATGACATGTTTGTTTGATTTTGCTGAAAATATTTCAGGTTCTTCTTCCCCTACTTCCTGGTTCGTGGGTGAGTTCCTCATTAACTGATGAGGTTGCCAAAAGAGGGGTTCAATAGGTGAGCCATTAGTAGTTAATTATATGCTGAAAGGATGACTATCAGAATAATCTTCTTTATTACAGAATAATCTTCTAAATCAATTTTGTTCTTGATCATTTTAAAAATGTATTTTAAGAGGAATGTTCAATCAAATCATAAAATCACAGTTTATCATTCAAGCCTTTCAGAGAAATGACAGCAAGTTTACCTGTCGAAAAAATATAAAGCATCTCACAGCTCCCTCTCCCCTCCTGTGATTACCACAGGGGTGCAGGTGTTAATGCAAAAGCTAATCAGATCAGTAAATACAAACTGTTCCCACTGTTAGCCCCTGCGGATACCTTGCTGTCCAGGAGAAGGTTGTCTGGTTTGATGTCTCTATGGATGAATCCAAGCTGGTGAATGGAGTCTATGGCTAATACAGTTTCTGCTATATAAAACTGAGTCTCCTCTTCACTCAGGGTGTCTTTTTTCATCAATAGAGTCATCATGTCCCCTGGAGACAAAAAGATACAAAGCCACCACACACACACACACACACAAACAAGCCATGAGTAGGTGCCAGTTTTCAGATACGTCTTCCCTATCTGCCAACATAAGAGGGGCTAAGCAGGCCCCTGGTGTGTTCCAGAGATTGACCCATACTGCCAACGTGGGGGAAAATGGTAAGTGGTTTCTAACATTTAAAAGGTAAAAACCAAAACCCTACAGACCAAAGCACTTTCTCACACATAAGCTGAATGATGCTGACCACAAAGTTGTGATTTACATTTTACTTGTGAGATAAAAAAAGGAAATTTCCCTCATACAGTGGGGAAAAAAAATTATGTACATAGGTATATATACATATATATATATATACACACATATACATATATATATATAAACA